TATCTGATCTACCTACAAGAGTGCTAAATAAAGAGTAGTAAATAATTGAGAATCAGGTAGAAAAGCCAGAGAGCAAAGGCATAGAAGTGAGTCTGTAAGTCTATCAATAAGCTCTAAGTACAGAGAGTCCTACTAGGCATAAAATGCCATTTGAAATCTTTTCCATTATGGGGGCAGAGTAGGGGTGGGAAGAGGAAGTGTACCCAAATGGCAGGGCGGAAAGAAAGGTAAGCTTCCTAAAGAGCAGTCTCTTATAGACTGATAGCCTAAAAATGTAAAAATAAAGCAAATGGACAAAACATCAGTCTGTATATGCCCTGTCCCTCCCACTGTGCAGTACAAATAATTTATATTTTCTAGCGTGCTCCTCTGTGCTATTTTTTAATGATAAAATTAGGATAAAACATGGTCTCTATTTGCAACAATTTTATCTTACTTGGGATGACTAAATTTTTAAGTATTTTTAAAAAACTATTGTGTATATTTGAAAGTCTGTTGTTTAAACAAATTGATATATGCAATACTCAAAGAATTACAGGTTTTCTTATTTCCTCTTTTTCACACTAATTTTCTTGGATAATAATTTGCCCGAAAGGAATGTCTTGGTGTCTTTTGAATTTGTTCGTTAATTGTAAATATAAAATTAGAAAAAACATTCAAACTTAATAAAAGAATCAAGAACATCCTACTTGTTTTTAATTCCTAGGATCTTATTATAAACAGGTATCTAACAAACAAGGAAAAAAAACATTTCAGATACCTTCAGCGTTTGTTTTTTAAGCCTTCAATACTCTTTTTATTAATTTATTAAAAGACAATTAGAAACAAAAAGGTAGTTATTAAAATGACTAAGAAGAGAGTGTTAAGAGTCCTGAATGTAGTAATCATAATCATGGACACTGGTAAGTTACTTCATTTCTCTAACATGGAGATAACAACACTCATAGGTTGTGGGAGGATTAAATGAGAAAACATAAATAAAGCCCTAGCACATGCATGTCTACTCAATAAATATGTTAACACATTTGACTAGCACAGACAAAAATACTCAGATGGTTAATAATCCTAAAATTCAACTTAGTAATTCCTTCTATACTCCTCAAACAGTATCTCTTCCACAATTCCATGTGTGTGGAATGAGGAAAGCATATTACTCAGATTCATTAAGGGCTAAATATTTGTTCAGCATCCCACCCGATGCAAAATAGCAACAAGAAAGTCCAAAACACAGTGTTTAATATATATATTTTTTAAAGATTTTATTTATTTATTTGACAGAGATCACAAGTAAGTAGAGAGGCAGACAGAGAGAGAGAGTAGAAGGGAAGCAGGCTCCCCGATGAGTGGAGAACCCAATGGGGCTCAATCCCAGGACCCTGGGATTATGACCTGAGTGGAAGGCAGAGGCTTTAACCCACTGAGCCACCCAGGTGCCCCACACAGTGTTTAGTATTTAAAAAAAATAAAATCATTTCGGGGTGCCTGGGTGACTCAGTGGGTTAAAGCCTCTGCCTTCGGCTCAGGTCATGATCTCAGGGTCCTGGGATCGATGGAGCCCCGCATTGGGCTCTCTGCTCAGCACAAAGCCTGCTTCCCCCACCCCTCTGCCTGCCTCTCTGCCTACTTGTGATCTGTCAAATAAATATACAAAATCTTAAAAAAAAAAAAAGATAAAATCATTTCAATGAAAAACTTTTACCTAAATATTAAGGATATTTGACTAAAAGTAAGAACCAAGTTAAAATTTACCACAGAAATACTGAATACATTAAAAAGCTGATTTGATAAAATTAATCTTTGACTTTCACTTCTCTGTTCTACTTCTATACATGGAGCATTTATTCTTACCTAAATTTTATACTGTCACCTGGATAGACTTCTTCTAAAGGCCTATCTAAAGACAAGTGAAAAGCATACAATTTATCATTTCTAAAGTTTAAAATATGTGATAGGGAACTGAGCAATCTTAAAGGACCAGGAGATACGTAGTCAGTCATATGGAGCTCATAGTTGTCTATCCACTGCTTGGGTCTAGTCTTACAAACACAGCATCTCAGTCCTGAAGAACCTACTAAGAACTACACAAGTACATTATAATCATTCACATAATTAAATATTAACTCAATCATTCCAATAGCCCTACAAAGTATTGTTATTCCCATACAAGTACAACAAAAATTCAACCTTTACTGAGTACTTACAACACATAGAGAAATAAGACAATGTCACTGCCAGGCACTGTAAGTAGGTGCCAGGGGTAGTTCAAAAAAAAAAGAAAAGAGAAGGAATACAACACAAGACGGTGGCTGCAGTTTAGAAGCAAAGTGTAAATACTTCTGCTCTGGCGATTATAGTTTTAGTCTGTCAATAAATATTTACTGGGCATCTAATCCCTTGAAAGTTATATATCATCAGGTTATATCTTAATCTAACATATTCTAGAAACTTGCTAGAGATGAGCTGATTGAGGGAATTACTTCTTTAGTTACACAGATGGTAAACAGCCATTATCTAGATTTTAGATTTGTTTATAAACTTATTTATTAACTGTTTTTAGAAGCAACCTGCCACACCTCAATGCATTATGAAACTTGACCAATTCATTCAAAACATTTAAAAATTCCTATGATGGGCCCTTCTCCTCTAGAACCTTGTTTTATCATTCATCCCCTCTCTCCCTCTGTTTTCAACCTCCAACGATTCTATTCGCAAGTCTCTTCTTTCCAGCCCACAAACACATTCAGTTTTTCCCATCTTTCAGATGGGTTACCACCCAAATCCCTCCCACCTTCAAGGTCAAATAGTGCTTTACTCTCACTGTCTTCACTTTCTTACCATACATCCACTAGCCTATTACCATCTGGTTTCTGAATTTATTGACGCTGCTCTTACAAAGCCACCAATAGCCTCTGGATTACCAAAACCAAGGTGTGCATTTTAGTCCTTATTTTACTTAATCTCTCTCTTGCACTTCTTGATATTGTTCAATAGTACTCTTTTCTTTAAATTCTAAAAGTGATGCCAAGATGTTATTTATTTTTTTGCATCTTCTTAACCATTCCTTCTCTCCCTTGCTGGCAGGGATCTGCTGAATTTCTAGCCCATTCTTGCCTTTTTATTAAACTCTATAGCCATACAGCTAACTGCCTAAAGATAGCTCCTTTCCGTGACCTAGAGACCACAAACTCAATACACCCAAAACTGTACTAAGCTTCAACCAAAAATTTGCTTTTCTCCTTAGTGATGTATCTTGACAGAGATACCACTACCAACCTGTCGGAAATATGGCAGTCATCTTAGAGACCTCCTGCTTCTTCACCGTCCAAGTACATTCTAATTTCTATGCCTCTCTTCTCCATTCCCACTGCAATTAACTTTAGGCCTTCATAATTCTCAAGCAACATATCTCCCTTCCTTCAATTATGACTTTTCTAATCCATCCTGTACACTACTGACAAAATAAAAATTTCTAAAAAGTAAATCTAATTATATTATTTACTTGTTTAAAACCCTTAAATGAGTCCCCACTCCAAATGGTAGGAATTCTGGGCTTAAGAAGAAACTATCCGGTAACTCCAAATTCTGTACCTACAAATATGCATTTTCCTAAAGAAAGAACCCAAGTTATCAAAGATTAACCCCATAGTATAAACTTCTAACTCTCTATAAGCCCTATGAAACCTTTCAGAATCATCTCAAACTATACCCTCCTTTCCAGTATAAGTTTAAGCCAACCCCAACTATTTTAAGTTCTCAAACAGGGCTATGCTGCTTCAACTTTTCACACTGCTGAACCCAAATTTCTCTTTCCCTGGAAAGCCACGCCCTACATCTGCCGTAAGTGAACAAGTACTCATCCTTCAAATGTTCTTTCATCTATGAAATCCTCCCTAGTTCCTGCAAGCAACTGATTTCTCCTCTCTTTCACCTAATACATTTTGCTTACACTTTTATTAAAGTATTTATTGGGATCTCTTATGTAATGGTATGTTGTTCACACTGAAAGTAGTATTTTTTCAAAATGCTTAAACAGGATATTTTCCAAAATACATCAGACCTATCTACGATCACTAATAAACTTACCACTAATGTTTTAAAATATCAAGGAAAAAAGTTATGTCTATGTTTTAACAAAAAACTGACAAATAATATAAGCACAAACATAAATGGCCTCATTTATTAAGTGAAAACTTTAATTACAAATATAATTAAAACCCTCAAAGACTCTTTCTTAACCTTTATATTTGATAAGCCCAATTAAACATGATTTTCCTCCTGCAATTCCGTATTTTTATATACTCAAATACTTTTCTTTATATTTGAAAATGGGTTTATAGAACCCTAGGAGTGAGTGTGTGTGCGTAATACATACATATATACATATATATATAAGATATATTTATGTGTCTTTAAGGTAAACATTTGTGTGAAATCAGCACTATTTCAGTTTTCAGAGAACAATTAAAACTTTGGAGGAAAGGTAGGGATCTTCCTGAAAATCAGCTTCTTGAGTACCCATGTGGGAATTTCTTGTTTCTGTGTGACTTTAAAAAAACAGCCTCAGTCTTTTAACACAGGCAACTGGAAGTTCTTCCTCGTCACCACTCGAACACTAAAATATAGGGTTAAAGAGTTACGGATGTAAATGTCGCTGGCTATAAAAACAACCTGCTTGCACAGTGGACAGACGCCAGCTGCCTATTAATCCGGGTCTGATAATGAGCCCTGAAACATGTACGAGGCCACGAAATCCGAAGCAAATGTGCGGTGCCTGATGTATTCGCTTAACTCCTCCAAGTGACTGATCACTGCCAAGGTCGAATTAATAAGTCTCCTTTGATGTTAATGATTGAGAGGTTCCCCGGAAAGGACGGAAAGCGGACTGCAGGACATTGTTTGGAAATATCTAAACGAACTTGATGGCGACTCCTAGCCTGAGTTTGAGTGGACGGGACTGACTTAGACGCGTTTTGTAAAAGACGCCCCCGCCCTCCCCCCACCGCTTGCCTGACCCGCTGTTTATTTTTGTCCGTTTTCAACTTGGAGCCGTCTCAAAAGCAAGCTACGAACGGACTGCTCGGCAGCTCGCTTGGAGAAGGCACAACCAGCTCTCGACGGAGCGCGGCCTGCAGTCAGCACCGGGCAGAAGGCACCGGCTGGCCCCTTCCGCAGGACCAGCGGCGGCAGCGCGGGCCGGGCCGCGACGCCGGCCCCCAGGTTTCGGTTAGACCGCAACAGGAAGTTTTCTCTTCCCTTGCGGGAAGCCGTGCAACCAAAGAGAAATTTGAACTCCCACTCCCGCGGGAGCACCCAGAGGTGAGCCTGGGTGTGGGAGGGCGGCCTCGGCCGGGACGGGACCGAGGCGGTGAGGGACTCGTGATTCGACGCGGACAGCGGCGTCCCCGCCCCGCGCGGGCTCAGCTCCGCGGCCTCCCGTCCCCTCCCCGCTGTCCCGACCCTCCTGAGGGCGGCGGCGGCCGTCTCGGGGCCCGCGCGGAGTCGGACGTCCCTGCTCTCGCTCCCGCCGGGACTCCCGGCCTCCCAGCCGAGGGAGCCCGCCGGGCCAGAGTGGGCGCGGGTGCGGTCACGGTCACGGCGGCGCGATTCCAGGCCTCGCTGGTGCGGGCTGCACTCACCCACTCGAGGACCTTGATGAAGCCCAGCGGCTCCTTGAGCGGGTTAATGTTGAGCTGGAAGGAGGACATCCTCTGAGATAAGGAGGGAGAGAGAGTCAGGACTGCGGGGCGGAGAAGGAGGGGGACCGACGAGACAGAGCAGCAGGGCCGCGAGGAAGGCCAAGCGGGGCGGGCTCTAGGAGGTGGGCCCGGGAGACCGTGGGGCGGGGCGGCCCGGGGAGGTGGGCCCGGGAGGCCTCGGGGCGGGGCGGCGGTTGGGCCGCTTGAGGAGAGGCTGAGGCGTGGACGCGAGAGGGGCGGTGGCGGGAGGCGAGGGTTGGGCAGGGGCTGGAAAGGGGAGGCGACTCCCGGGGCAGCACCTGGCCGAGCCGGCTGATCCGCTGGCGAACCAAGTAGATGTTGGACGCCATGCTGCGTGCGCCGCGCCCACTTCCCTGATGTCCAGCCCCCCCCCGGCGCTCCGTCTCCTGCCGCGCATGTGCGCTCCCACTCCGCACCTGCGCAGCGCGGTCCGCCGCCGCGCGCAGAACCTTCGCTCCGGGATAGTTCCGCGCGGTCCGTCCCCGGTCGCGGCTGTCTTCCAGCCTCTTCTGTTCGCAGTTCCCAACTTGTAGACGGACTTACAAAATATTATTATAGATGAAGCCACGTTTCAACACTGGTGTTAGGGGCCTTTTGCCAAAATGGAAAGTTGTTACAGAACAAGTCGAAAGCGTTATTCATCACACATACTTACAGAAATTCAGTTCATTGCCAAAATTATCATCATTGGAGGCAGGGTTGAAGGATGTATATCGAATAGAAAAACGCGTGGGCGGACCGCCTCCTCCTGACTCACCTACCCACTTCCTACCCTATCCGGCGTGTCCTCAACTTGAGGGGCTCTAGGTGTCTTTCTACAGAAGGCCAATTCCTGCTCCTTTTCAAGATTCGGCTTAGGTGACGCTTCTCCTCGGCACCCAGTTATCGGACTCCCTGTTGTGACCTCCTTGGCGGCTTCCCCAATATTTTGGGGTCCTTGGAGAGCTGGAGTGGTGGCCTGTTGCCGTGTATGGTAAGATGGTTAACACCGTTTAACACTTAGTAAATAAGGAATTAGCACAGTAGGGTCCCAGTACCACCTTGCAAGCACTTGCCTATGAATTAGGTTCCTTGCGGTGGTAGGAGGGTTTGACAACTGTTACTGGGCATCTTTCTGAGTGCACCTGAGACCACTGTAACTGGTAGTCCAAGTCTTCCGCTGCTTCCTTTATTGTTTTTCTTTTCTATTCCGTTTCTGCACTTTTTCTCCTGGCACTCACTTACCGGAGCTCCAATGTAATGGATCTCCTTACTGCTTCTCTTGATATATTTTCTTTAGTCCATTTTTTCCAAACTTTTATTTGTGTTTTGCTGAGGCCTGGGAGTGGGTTGTGGATAGTAGTGCTCTTTCAGGTTTCATAGTCACAAAGATTCAGTGTTAGATTAGACTTTAATATTTCCAAAGGAGCTATACACTGCCAGATCTGAGCGCTGTTCGATTTGCAATTTTATTTATTACCTTTAAAAATCAAAAATATACTGTAATTTAGTGACCCAGCTTTGGCATTTAGTTTTTCATTTTTTGAAGGTCTAAGAAATGAGAATTGGCCAGACTCTTTCTCAGCTTCTGAGAAGATTGATTTTGTGTTTCCACTTTTGTGCTCCTTCTTGCTCTCTCTCCTGCTTCTCATCCCAGAAGTGGAAGGTACTGTTTTTCTGTTCAGAAAACCTTTAGTGCTAGAGTTTGCACCTTGCACTTTAAGAAATTCTCATCCTTAGCTATGTGCCACTAGTTTTGAAAAGATAGAGACCACTCAAGGTGAGCAGAAGAGCAGTATCTGGTCACTTGTCGGGACTAATTCGCAGGATCTCACTGGGCCATACAAAGCAGGAGTGAATTACTACAGTTACTTTGTGTTATGTAGAGCTTAGCACCACTTTTGCCAATCATCTCAGTTCAGAGGAACGCCCACTTTCCTGAGAAGGAGCTGGTAGTGGCTGGCAGAGCAAGTGAGATCTAATTAGGCAACCAGATAGATGTAAATTTTTTTGATCCTGGAAAAACAAGAGTGTTTAAACAATAGCATCTTCACTGAAGGCACAACTGTTCAAAATCTGGGAAGAATGTTCAGATGACTATCACATTGACTGCAACACTGGTCATTTTCTGATTTGTTCTTCAAATCTGAGCTAAGAGCCAGTACCCCTAGGCACAGCGTGTTCTACTCTCTACTGGGGCTGTTATGGAAAATAGTACTTGTAATGCAAAATTGTCCTGTCTGAGGTAGTATTATTGAGTCCTATCCGTGGTAGTATAATTATGGCTGATTTGTCTACCTAGCTTGTCATTATTTTACTTTCTCTTTGCTCTTTATAAAACATGTACCAGGTTATGATGTCAAGAGGTGAGAAGGAAACTGTGTTAGGGAAATCATATTGTTGGCTAACTTCCTTTGTGTTACTCCATGGTAATACCAAGTGCTGGTCGTTTGACTAGAAAGATGAGACTTTGAGCTCATTCTCAATCAATATTGTCTTTCTCCTGAAAAGAAAGTGTTTATTACTGCTGAATTCAAAACCTGAACTTCATCAATAAACACAGTTCTTTTCTTTTCACTGATGTAGTCAACAATCATTTTAGGAAGATGTAAAAATTGGGGTCCTCGCATGGCTCAGTCGGTTAAGCACCTGGCTTTTGGCTCGGGTCATGATCTTGGGGTCTTAGGATTGAGCTCCACATCGGGTTCCCTGCTCAGTGGGGAGTCTGCTTTTACCTCTCTGTCTGCTCCTCCCCCCTGCTTGTGCTCTCTCTCTCTCTCTCGCTCACATAAATAAATAAAAAATATTTTAAAGAAACTGTTTTAGAAAAATGTAAAAATCACTCTACATTTATTAAATTGTGCAATAGATTAACTCAGAGGGCCCGATAAATTAATCTCAAAATAATTAAACAACTCTTTTTAAATTAAATTTTAATTTTAAAAATAATTTTCGATTTACAGAAAAGTTGCTATATACGCTTCACCCAGCTTCTTCTAATATCTTCTATTACCAAGAGACATGTCAAAACAAGGAAATTAACATTGATGTATTAATATTAACTAAGCTACAGGATTTTTCAAACTTTACCACTTGTCCACTAATTTTTTTTTTTTTTTAACCACTCCAGGACCCAATCTGGGATACCACTTTAAACTAGTGAGATCTTTATTGAAGGCATTTTCAGGAATGGAGGGAAATGAAAAAGACAAAATCATTTTCCTTTCTCTTGAAGACTGAACAAAATGCACGAGGATTTGGTAAATGGCAAATGGCTTTGACCCCTTTTGGTCCTGCTCATTAACTATCTGGTGTTAGCACCTGCCTCCCCTTGGTTGTTTCCCTTCACTGTCCATTTCCTAGCAGGTGGCAGTGACCCACTGTGGCGTAGGATTGATCCAGCTGTACACCTAAAGCCTGGTGTCTGCTCTCATAGCCGTGGGCCCCACACCCGTTGCACTAAATGTGAGTTTCTTGAGCGCAGGGGAGCCCTCTTACCGCTCCCAAGTCCATTAGAGCAGTGGTTACAATTTGGTGGTCAAAAGCAGGGCTGTGAAACGAGACTCCTGGGTTTAAACCCTGCCTCTACTTTTTGACTTTCAGCAAAGGCTTTCACCTTTAAGTTTCCCTTTTCTCATTCCCATTTTGCAGTGAGGAAATGAGTGTTGTAGTGAGGTTTACATTTTATAGTTGTCAGAGATCATAGGGAAGAGGGCCCGGTACAGAATAAGCGCTTAGTAAATGTTACCTGTTATTATCACTGTGTTTCAGAAACCATGGGTGGCTCAGTCTCCCAACTGGGTGGTGAAGAAATCACCAAAACTCAATGTTAGAGCAAAAGCATAAGGAAGTCAAACTTTTATTTATTGTCCACAAGAGGATGAGAGTTGTAAGGAAGACCATTCTATTGGTAAAAGGAAAGAACTATGAAACTTGGTAATAGGATTCTAGAAAGCAAAGAAAATGAAAATGTTCACTACTGCAAATCATGCGGGGCAAAGGTCACACTAATCCTCTTCGTGTGGGTCCAATTTTAATATATTTGTGGCTGAAGTGAGCACAGTTCTCATCACCATCTTAAGCTTAGCTCAAGTTTAAGCAATGAATAAACAGGAAAGATGCCCTAATTTGTAGAGATTAATTTTATAGGGACCATCACGAGCACTTCAATTAGGTTTCTAAAGAAAAAAAGCATATTGCATAATAACTTTTATAATAACTCGGAATTTGCATAGTGCCTGGCGTTTTTCAGAGAGCTTTTGTACTCCCTTTTTCATGTGACTCTTGAACTAAGGGAGGGTGTTGGAATTACGATATACATTTTGTAGAGACAGAGGCTCAGAGGGATGAAAGCATATTGGAAAGGGCCTCACAGCAGAAGTGACACAGCACCAAAGCTTGAGGGAGGTGAAGGGGCTTCTCCAGGAAGATGGGAGGGGCATCCAGATAGAGGTGCAGCGGAAGGTAGGGAATGATGAGAATGGTGAGGGGAGTTCTTTTGTGGGACCAAATACCTCAATATATCTGATGCTTTGACTAAGGGGAGCAGTGTAGAAGCTGGTTTTTGTGTGCCCACCTAGGAGTTCAGACTTGATTCTCTGGCAGTGAGTTGCTTTGAGACAGAGGACAATAACACGATCAGGTTTCAGTTTAGGAAAATCACTATGGCGGTAGAATAAAAGATAAGCTCAAAAGATAGTGGGTAGGTTCAAGAGAGCTGAATTTTCTCTTTTCTTTCCTTTTCCTTTTTTTTTTTTTTGACAGAAGGATAGAGAGAGAGAGAGAGCACAAGTAGGCAGAGTGGGAGGGAGAAGGAGAAGCAGGCTCTCCACTGAGCGGGGAGCCTGATGTAGGACTTGATCCCAGAACCCTGGGATCATGACTTGAACCAAAGACAGAAGCTTAACTGACTGAGCCACCCAGGCGACCCTGAGAGCTGAGGTTTTCTAAACCTGCTGGTCATGGGATCTCAGGTCCCAGACGGGTGACAATGAGCAGAAGCAGCCAGCCAGGTGAGCGCCAGCAGCAGAGTACTGCCTGCAACAAAAGCACGAGATTTAGGTGCAGAAACCATTCATTCCTGCTCTGGCTTCATCAGACTTAGAAATTTTCCCGAAGCATTGCCATTTAATTTCCTTTTGCTTACCTCTCTGTGTAATGAGAGTGTAGTATTCGTAGAGCATCAACTGAAGTATGTCAATTAACATGGGTGGAGTACTTCCAACAGCAAATCAGGACTGGGGGATGAAGACAAATGTGAAAATGTCTCAGGCTGGTCCCCCAATCCTACCCACGCTGGAGGGTTCAGCAGGTGGCCTAAGCTGTGGAGCAGGGTGGCTATGGAGAGGTTAGTATCCCGTTTTGTGCCGCTGCTCTCATAAGTAATGATTCAAAGGACTTCCACGTTTTGTTGTCTCCCTGGAAAGTAGAGTGGCACCAGAGAGGGATAAAGAGATTTCAAGTTTAATACTGTATTACACCCAGGGGTCTCTCTTGGAACCTTCCAGGAAACAAAACAAAGTGTCCACTAGTTCTGTAAGGATGGTTTGTTTATTCTGTTTGCAAGTGCAGAGAACTGACTTCCTGCCAGAGAGAGAACAGGGTGTGATAGATCTGGGACAGTAAACTGAGCAGATGAAGTGCTTTGTTTTTAGCATGCTGGACAGGATCGCCCCAGGACCTGAACTTCTTGTATCTAACATAGGAAACCCAAAGAAATGCCCTTCCTTCCTGATTCTGGTCCACATGTGGACTTTGGGTCAGGACCGCCATGATCTTCTGAGCATTTATTAAGAGAGAACAGGCTACCACAGGGGATGGCTTTCAAAGCTGATCAGTCACACACCCAGGCGGTCTGTAATCTTATCAGCAAAAAAATCAATTTCCTAACATGATATGAAGAGGGTAAATAGAGAAATCCCTGAGTAAAAGCTCTCCAGGGAAATTCTGATGCTGACGAACTTTTGGCAATGGAAGTTTGTTTACAATTTCTCTTGGAGGCAGAAGAAGGTATTTTATACAGTAGCATGGTTTCTAGAAAGTTAACTGTAGATGTTATTTTTGCAAGTGGAATTTTACTTTACATGCACTTCAGGAGTTAGCCATTTAAAGGATTCTTTTGGAGAACCTCCCTGTGATCATTCTTTATTCTTCATAGGTTTGTATTTTTTGTACTCTTTGCCCATCCCATTTTTCTAAAGCGACGATTATTTGTAATTGTCTTACAAGCTAAATAAATTGGTCTTGGCTTTCTGAAACAATTTCGTTGGTCTTTTCTTTTTTTCCCTTTTTTTAGATAAAAGTAAGGTGTTTTGTTTGTGGTTAAAATCCCCTGATTTATTATTTTTTTTCATTTCCCAGAATGATCATATGATAAGAAATCTAAGAATTTATTGACTTTGACTTTTTTTTTTTATCAAGGCAAAACCCTGAGAAGAGGACAGCCCCAATCACCCTACCACCATATATACCACAATATATATGCATCCTGCTGCCTTGTCACAGGGATCTTAAAATGCCACCCTAATACTTATGTTAACAATGTCACATTTTATTTTATTTTTTAAAAAGGTTTTATTTTTAAGTAATCTCTACATCCAACATGGGGCTTGAACCCACAACCCCGAGATCAAGAGTCTCACCCTCCACTGACTGAGCCAGCCAGGCACCCCTACAGCTTCACATTTTAAAATACCAACACCCTGGAGAATTACTGCATTAAATGATCTTTACAGTATAACACTCTAATGGAAAATTATCTGATTATTTTTCTCCTGGCAGTGAGAAACGTAGGAATTTTAGTGGGAGTGTAGGGGGAAAAAGGGTAATCTTGGAATCTGGGGTACCATCTTAGAAAGACAGGCTTAACCAAAGGAAAAAGTTCCAGGCTGCCAAGAAGTTGCAGAAGGGATACTGAATGCCTGGGAAGTATGCTAGAGAAGCTGTTCAGTATTGAAGAAGAGGAAAATGGGAAGCAGAACTAAAGTAAACTTGGATTCCTGCACAACTTAATTTAAGGAAGACTGGATTTTCTCAACACATTTAATTTCAGTAGTTGCCAACCATTTGAGAAGAAAGAGAGACCTGAATAGAGACTTCTTTCCAATATTTATCGATCACCCATATGGACCAGGCACTTTGCTAAGTGCTCATCATACAGAGGAGAACCAGATATTTTTGTCTTCAGAGAATTTATATTCTAAAAGGGAGGGCCAAAAGCATAAAAAACTAAGGAAAATGTACTTTCAAGTTGTGATATGTGCAACGAAGAGTACAAAACCTACGCTATTGTATTTTTTTGTCTTTCACTCTACAATTTGGGTACCTTGCAAAATCTGTGGTACAACAGAGATAAGTTGGCAATGACTACAGTCTTCATAATTTACATCACTGACTACTATTGACTTAGGTCTCATGTAAGAAATCCCATGGAGGACTTCTGGGGATAATCTTATGGCACTCTCAGAACCCTCGGAAATTCTTTAAACTTAACATTCTAAGCACTGAGGGGCTCTCCAGAGCCAGCTATGATCATTAAGTAGGTGAGATGAACTGCTGTCTGTGAGGTTCGACTTTAGGATTTAGCTGCTGTCTGCTCTCCCCACCCTAACGCAATGTCCATTCTTCAGCTGCATCTTCTGAAATTCCAGGGTTGAGAATTCTAATAGACTGGCCTAAGGACAAGAACAAAGGGAAAGGTGGTAAGTTATGGAGCTGCTAGTGATAAGAAGAGAGAGGCTTAAGGAATATACACAGAGCCCCAGAAAAAAAGGTATTGAGAAAACTGATGGAAAATGCTCCATGTAGGAGAGTAAACTCACGACACTTCCAGATCAGAAACCCAGGTAAAGAGTAGAGGGGGAACAGAAGTCCTCCTAAACTTCTAAGGCAAAGTGGGGAGCCATTTGAGGTCCCCGCTTGCTCAACTGTTAGAGGGGACTATAAATCTGTATTACGCCAGGCTGCCTGTGCAGTTCTAAACATTCTTTTATGCATGTGATTACTAAAGCCACTGCAAGGAGAAGTCAGACAGAGGACTTAAGTTATCTCTCTATTACAAGGATCATTGTGCTACAGTCGATAGAATGCCGAGATAGAATGTAAAATATAGTTATGCCTTACCTCTCCCTAGTGAAAGAGGTATTAAGAGGAATATGAACTGGAGTAATCAAGTAAAACTGCTACCGTCTTGAGCCTTCAAGCACCCCCCCTTTTTTTTTAATCTTCCCAGCATCCTTTCTGGGGGACCATGTCCCCCACCCACATTCCAAAGTATTCCTGGTCAGGTGGTTTGGCCCAAGGATGGGTATGTGGTCCAGATGCAGTCAATCAGAGTATGACATCATTCCAGTCACAGTGATTAGTTTCTAAAAGAGTAGTTCCCCAGAAGTCTCTGTGTTTAATCACCAGCTATCCAGAAAAATACCCTTTTTTTCCAGGATCATAGGCTGTAGGAACTCTGGAGGTCTGAGGTAACCAGAGTCCAACTGACTGACACATGGAGTCAGCTTGAAGATGAAACCAAGCAGAGGCAAACGGGATAGGGAGTGAGGGTGGAGAGGTCCTAACCTGTGCTGTATCCACTCTATAAGATCTTTGTGTGGGTGAAGCTGAGTAGAAGGACAGGTTTCTACCAGTCTCTAGGAATGGGGCAACCTGCTCTCTGACTCACCGTAGAACCAGCTATCCTTGTTAGAAGGGGGCAATTTCTCAGAGGACATTTATCTTGGAAGGGGACTGATGATAGCACATAATGAGGTGGGACTATTTGAAGTTATTTGCCTTGGGGTAGCCAAGTTTAGTGTATACCTGTCTGCTCTCTCAAGTCTTCCCGTGCACTGCACTCCCCCCTCCACCAATCCCTGTCCTCATTCCCGTCCCTGTTGCCTTCCATCAACCTGCATTACCATTCACCTAAGGGAAAAAGAGTGAGGAAGAAAAAGCAAGACTGAGATAGCATCCAAACCCATCATAATTAGTCTTCTTGTCTTTCTCAGACATCAGCCTTTAGAATGTTTGAAAGCAAGGCTGTGTCTCCCACTCCTGGATGGTCAAGGTCTTACACAGCCCCAGGACTTAGTAAGCATGTCAGTGAACTTGAGTGAATCGGGAAGGGGCTGTAGAGATGGAAGCCCCGCAGTATTCAGCCTGAGAAAGTCATTGCTTTGGATAGAAGTGTTGCCTCTCCAAGCATCCTCTTAAAAAATCCAAATAC